GTGGCCTATTTCTGGAGACCATGTCAGGCCGAACCACCGATTCGGTGTATGTTAGCGCACATTATCTGTACGTTTCCAGACTTGTTATGTCATAAAACCGAGCCAACATGTGAAATGACGGTAGACACATGCATTCTGGTAGGTGTCAAGGTTGCACGTGAATTAGACACATGCATTCTAGTAGGTGTCAAGGTCACGTGAATATCAGGTCAAGGTCATTACCGTTAGATGAATTTGGTTCACTTTTTCGAGCTAGGCATGTTACTAGGAAACTTTTTGGAGATGATGTCGAATTAAGCATATAACATTGAGAAGTAGTTTTGGTACCAATGCAACATGTTACGAAGCTGTCTGTGGTTGACACCTACTTTGGCTAGCCGGAGGGACACGCACTTGTTGATCTCACCTAACCTGATCCGACCTTCGCCAAATGCTAAAAATGGATTCAGATTCAGCGCAAAACTATGAGCCAGATACCATTAAAAAATTGAAGCTGGTCTTTCAAGTTTTTTTTTCTGTCTGGTGTGTCAATATGATGAAGGTACAATGACTACTATCTAATATTGGGTAATATTGCATGGGTCAGGTGGCCTACCATTTCTCTATTTTTTTATTTTTCTAGTTAAAAAATCATCGTATCAGGGCTATGACGAAAAACAAGTGGCCTAAATCCGATGAGAAAACTGGATTTGGGGGTACCCTAGGTTTAGAGGAGACACTAGGGCGATGGGCGAAGAGCAGACCGTCCCCCCCAACCAAAAGTCCGTGGCGGAGCCCTTGCTTCAAATAGCTGCTAAAAATAGAGTTATAGAGATAAAGACAAATTACGAGCACGGCTGTGTAGCGTTTGACCTAGAGAAAAATAGAAAAATAGTTTTGGTGACCTGAGGTCAGAGGTCAGGTCAACGACCCCGAAATGTGGTTTTAGTTTTTCGCAAATAACTTCGACAAAAATGGTCCTAGAGCTACGGCAGTGGTACCATCGCATTCGCCTTGTCAAGCCGCGTCGAATGATATATATTTTGTTCGGAAAAGGTCAAGTTTCATGTTGACCTCATGTGACCTCGAATGACCTCTGGTTGACCTTGACACATGAAAGGTCGTTTATGATGGATTTGTACCCGCTGATCACGAATCTGGCATCTATTTTCCTCTAAGCCTTCATTTAGAGCTTCCGGATGGCAAAATTGTCTTATTTATTATTACTAACTTAATAAGTGAAATAGCCTCTAGCAGGGATACTCTTGTGTGACCTTGACCTTTGAGCAGCCTTGTATCGTAAGATGAACCACAAATAGGGAACTGATAAGCCTCAAAACATTTCAAAACATCTTGGAAGTTAGCACGCAAGATGTGCGAAAAAGTGCCAAGTTTGAGGTCAATTTTGAGCGTGACCTTGACCTTGACCTTTGATTTAGAGCACATTTTCAGAATCCTCAGATTCTCTTCTTTCGTTTGACACCCAATTTTGCCGGTTTGATGCAGCCTGCCGTCCTCTAGAAGGCTTACTTTGAGATCACTACACATGTGCCGGTTTTTGCCTTTGACCTTGACCTCTGACCTTGAAAATTGACCTGAGGTCAAAAATTTTAGGTGCATTAGAATCGTCTCGTAAGGACCTTTCGTTTGGTATCGCTTTTGTTTCCGTAGCTCTCTTATTTACGGAGTTAGACAGGGGGGGCGAAAAACGCCCCCCCCCGGGCTGCGGTGGTTGGGATTACCCCCCGGGCCCGGCCGGGTTAAATTTGGGTGAGTACATGAAATGCAAACGTAATGGGAGCAAGGGTGTGAGAATGACGACGCATGAATCTTAGAATAAGGCCGATAGGAATTTGATAGAATTCGGTTACGGCAGTCGAACAAATGATTCTCGAGGGCAGTTAAAACTAGCAACGCTAATACGAATTAAGTGGGCAATTTTCTTAATGGGAAGGCCAGTATAGGAATGGGTGACTGGACAAATGATCACATTCAATTTATCAATGTAATTACCACCCATATGTTTGGCAGTGGTCATCGGGACTTCGAATGCCCTGTCCTTCACCTGCCCAACTGTGCCGCAAACCCAGCTGATCGGATCCCTCTATCCCAAATCCGAGCAGTGAAGAAGCATCTCGTGCATCATGGTCTATACAATGAACAGAATCACCAAGCCTCTAAATTAACCCGCGCGGGGCTGGGGTCTCCAGCCGAACGCGCGGGGCTGGGGGGGGGGGGTAAATTTTACCCCCCCCCCCTGTTATCTCCCGAACTAATGGTCCGATTTGGAAAATTCAAACGCCAATCGAAAGCTCTCATCACGAACTACTAAAAACATGTACTTAATTTAAAGTTTGAGGTCAAGGTCAAGGTCAGGTCAAGGGTACAAATTGCAAGTTTCTACAGTATCGGCCTTGCACCGTAGTTGCCGAAGAATGGAGTCATGGACTGAGACTGATCGCCCAAAACGTGTTCTTAGGCTACCAAGACAATATTCGTTGCATACAATATCATTCAGAGGTCAAGGTCAAGGTCAGGTCAGGTCAGGTCAGGTCACCAAAAAACAAAATATAGAAAAGGGCATGTGCGACACATGTTTTATGGGTCATTTTACTCATAGAATTCAATAGGCACACTCAATAAGTGATATGGACCACCTCTGGATGAATTTCAGGTCGAGGTCAGGTCAAGGTCAGGTCAAGTGAGGTCAAATTTTGAAGTTGGTTGTTAAGGCCTAAAAAGGTGTCTATCTGATGCAGTTTTTCACGGCGAATCGAATGGTGCTATTTTTGTTTCCGTACGAGGTCTAGAACTTCCAAAAAAGTCATTTTTCAAAAAATTTGTGTGTCGTGACGTCATAAAATTTTGAATAACTCCCACATTTTTGAACCGATTCTTCTAAAATTTGGTATGTAGGTGCACATAGACCACTACTCTGAAATATATTCCGGTTTTTTCGATAGACTCAAAATTTTGGATTTTATAATGATTTTCCCAAAAAAGTCAGTTTTTTGAAAAAATTTAGGCCAAAATCCAAAATTTTCAAAAAACCGAGATAGCCATTTGATAGACAAAGTAAAATTACGTATAACCTTTTTTGTTACGTCTTGATTCCTTTAAAAATGAAGATGGTAGCGGCGTTTGAACTTTTGCCGTTTTTGAGGCGAAAATGGCGAACATGACGTCACTAAAACGTCAATTTCTCAAAAATTTTCCGACGGATTTCGCTCAAATTTTCAGGGAACGTGTCAAATTGATGTAAGAAAAGGTACTGAAAGTTTGGCGGCGCTGCGCGCCGCCGTTTTTGAGATATCGCAAAAATTCGCGAGGGGGGGTAAAATTTACCCCCCCCCCCCAGCCCCGCGCGGGTTAAAAAGCATCTTCCATCAGATGTATTTGTATGCAAGGTGGATCTATATCTACATCTCTCCCAGGTGGACGTCATCTCAAGATCGCTATCTGGAAATCTAGATCTCTATCAAGATCCCCTTCTAAATCTATCTCATGATGTCATCACTATCTGGATCTCTCTCTAGATCTCTCTCGGGATCTTTTCCAAGACGCTCAAGCTCCCCTGTTCTACCAGCTCTACTATCGAGTTCCTTCCAGCAGCTTCCTTCTCTCTTCTGCTACACCGCCGAACAGCAGTGGACCGCGCTGTTTGATGACCCGCAAGATGCAGTGCTTTTCTTTCCTCTATTCATGCCTTCTTTCTAAAATCCCCTCGCTACATGGTGTTTTTTTTTTTCCAGCCGCGAACGTATAAGGGGGGGGGGGGTCCGTTGGACCCCCCCTTGCCGTTTCGCCCCTGATCGAGCTAGAGCTTCGCGGAAAAAAGGAGCGTGCTGCTCGTGACGAGAGTAAGCCGATGATATCCAATTTTAAGGTCCTAGGTCATCGGTTGACCTTCCAGGTCAGGTCAATGACCCAAAAGTCGGGAAAATCGGGACCTGTCAGAAAGTCGTAAAGTGTGGCTGCTATGGGGTTTTTCGGGGCGCTGATCACGAATATCATGTTAGTTTTGATCACAGATGATGTCTTTATGCATTTAGTTCAGGTCGGGTCAGGTCAGGTCAGGTCAACCAGTACTCAGTAGGGGTCCTGCCGGGTATTCCTAGTAGGTGTCAACCGCCTCTGACAGCTTCGTAACATGTTACGAAGGCACCAAAACTACTTCGTAAATGTTCATATGGTTGCTAAATTCGAATTCAGCTCCAAAAACTGGCCTAGAAACATGTAAAACTCGAAAAAAGTGAACAGAGGTCACCAAAGGTCAATGACCTGACCTGACCTTCAGGTGACCTTGACACCCACCCTAATGCATGGAGGCAACATCATATCACATGTTTGAACGCTTGAAACCACGAAAAGACTGCAAACGCGCGGCCAATGCGAGCCGACATACGCCGAATCGCGATTCCAACCAAACATGGTCTCGAAAACTAGGTCACAGGTCAAAGGTCATTAGAGTCAGGGTCACGAAAATTTCAGGGTAGGTGTAAAACTGATTAACGCGAGGGTACTGAAAGTTTCGTCGCAATCGGCCGCTTTTTACGCGAGTTATTCGCGAAAAACCATGGGGGGGGGTCCGTTCAACCCCCCCCCCCTATACGGGCGAGGGTTAACATTGGGTAGCATCGGCTTCCTCTCGTCACAGGCAGCACGCTCGTTTTTTTCCGCGAAGCTCTAGCTCGATCAGGGGCGAAACGGCAAGGGGGGTCCAACGGAATTGCCCCCCCCCCCCCCCCCCCAAGGAGCTACATAGTCACCGTAGGTATGCCTTGGCATTTGGGAAGCAGTTCGTAATGAAGCGATTTTGTTCCCAATAGCAGTTAGCGGCATAGGCTACCTCACGACAATAAAGTGCGCCTCTAAAGCCTGAAATGTGAGTATGCCGCGCTCATTCTGTCACCTGATAATGCATAACTTTGGTAGCTTCTTTGCATTGTCGCTGCAACGACTTTTCCGAGTCGGGCACCACAGCAGCTCGCCTAAATAAATGTCGAAAAAAAGCAAGAAAAGAAAATGATGATCATGTTCATTTCACATTTCGGGCAAATGACGTACAATGGCGAAAGAACCCCTGTACAACTCGCCACAAATGCATACGTTGGTGGAATCGGCAGTGACACCAAACATTCAGCGAGGACAAGTTTCAAGTTCTGACGCGCTTTGTGTAATGGGCTTTGAACCTCTGTCACTTATGGTTTTGCGTTTGCTTCGCTCGTCTCACAGTACAATACAAAACAGTTTCCATTTCGCTCTTGAGCGAGCAACACTGAAAAACACTCACAGCTCGCGGATGCAACACCTCGCGTCCAGCCGAGAAGCAGTCCATCGACACACATCGGTCACGCCTCACACGATGGCATACTGTCCATACAGCAGCTCCCGTATCCGGAAAAAGTCGTCAGACAGGCAGCCTTCGATGGTGATGTGGCCCTGCTCCTGACGCCGGAGCGCCACCGTGCCGTTACAGCACCACAGCACACCACCAGAAAACTCGGAGGCGATGCCCAGCCGCACTAGCGCCTGCTTAAAGTCCGATAGACGCAGCTCGTTAATGAACACAGTACTGTGTCGCGGCGCCTTCTCCGCCGGCAGAAGCTCTAGCGTCGGGATCGCCTCCTCAGCGTCATCCGTTTCCATGGCAGCGTCGTCAGTCGGCGCGGTGACGTCCGAGGGACGCTGGTCGGTCGCCATGACAACGACGCCGTCCAGCCAGGCCACCTCGGCGTCCTTGCCCTTGGAGAAGGTCAGTGAGGAGACGAGCGAGTCGCGCAGGCGGACCTGGTAGATGTGCGACTCGGTGGTAGCATCCACCGGGTGACCGGCGCGTGGAATCAGCACCTTCTCCGCCACCTGTCGGAGAGAGACGGAACCAGTAGTGAGGAAAACTACCGTCAGGGAGGAAACAGCGGCAATCAGGGCTGACGCAAAATGTGAAGTAGATGTAGCTACAAGTACTGTGGCTGACAAAAGAAACATAAAATAAAACAGTTGTGTGGATAAAATGCGCACAGTGCTATGACAAGATTAAGACTAGAATTATATAACTTAATCCAAGCGCTGTTATTAGAGAAGTGAATATCCTGGGCTGAGATATTTATGAACTCTATGCAATGAAGCAGATATCCTATCCTACCCTGAAAAGTGAAACCTCTGCTCAAACCTGATCCCATGTTCGAATTTCAAAAGTGCAAATTTGTTTAGTAAGAATGGGGATCAATCGAGATTGGTTGCATGGGTCCTAATCGATACAAACACATAAAAGTATAAGTCAAATCTAACAACAGTGAGAACACGTCACACCCAACCTCGGCTCAGTAGTCTCGCTTTTCCGTTAGAGATAGCTGACAGGGATAATAATGCCAGCCCCCCACCCCATCCCACCCCCACCAACACCCATTAAATGACGTCTCCACCGTCACTCACCTGTGCGAAGCGGGCCGCCAGCGGCTGTACCACCTCGTCCGTGCCCCTGAGCAGCACCAGCCGCCGGGGACGCAGCTGCTCCAGGATCCGGTACAAGCTCTCGCCGTCTGTGCGGCCCTCGAAGTCGATGTACGTCACGCCAGCCGCCACTGTGAAGGTGCGGTAATAGGCCAGGCACTTGCTGGGCACTGTCGACAGGTCCTGCATCTCCTGGTCGGCCGGCTCGGCCTCCTCCTTGACCGGCTCGGGCTTCACCTCCTCCTCGGCCACCGCGAACTCGCCGGGGCGGATCAGCTCACCATAGTCGTCGTACTTGACGCGCTCCTCGATGTGCGGAAACACGGCGTGCTGGCGCTTGCTCGACTTGAAGAAGAGCGGGTTGGGCTTGCCGTTGGCCAGTGTCAGGTCGTGTTCCACCTGTCCGTCAGTGGCCAGCGGAGCCTCGTCGGTGTCCGACTCGTCTGAAGAGTCTATGTCGCCGGCCAGTGCGGCCGCCTTGGCGCGCTTGGCCTCCAGCTCGCGACGCTGGTACTCCTCCAGTTCAGCACCCTCCAGGCGCACGCGCTGCTTCACCTGCAGCGAGAGCGTCTTCTTCTTCTTGTTGGTCATCAGATCACGAGCCAGCGTGCCGACGCTAGTGCGCGCTGTGAGGATCACGTGATTCTTGGCACTGGTGCACCACTGGGTGAAGAGCTCTCGGGCGAAGCCACACTCCAGGTCTGGTGAACTGGCTAGTACTACTTTCGGTCCTCGAATGCGATTTACCTCGCTCAAAGAGTGAAACAGCTTTAGGTGCTTGAACTGAAACGGGTTGTTGCGAGCACCCTCGAAGCTACGCATTAGCTTGTCAGACATCCACTCAATCTGCGACTTTGCAAACTCGACCACGTTGTAGCTGACATTGTTGAGCAGCGCCAGTGAGTAAGCCATCAGGCCAGATTCCTTGTTGCGCCACAACTGATCGAGCATGTGCGCCAGCTCCAGCATACGTCCGGCGGTGTCGATGGCGACTAGAACATGGCCGCCGCCGCGCAAGGTCTGCAGAATTGTGGTCATGAGTTGCTCGTCGCGCTGCCGGCGGCGGGCAGGCGCGTACGTGGCGTTGTACGCGTCTGTGATCATGAGCGAGGGCCTCGCCACGTGCTCCAGATCACACCCGTTCAGGTGGCGCTCCTTCTTGTGGTTGAAGTCGGGGGCGTACAGGATGTCCTCCTCGCCGTCTTTGACGATCTTCCACATGGTACCGCCGATCATGTGGCCAGCGGCCAGAGGTGTGATGGTCAGCCCCTGTCCACGGCCCTTCAGCGCAACGCTCTGGTTGTACTTGAGCTGTACAATCTTATCGAACGCCGAATCGACGTCGTCCAAAGAGAACACGTTGAAGTCTTCCGTGTTGTGGCGCGACTGGTACTGATCGTAGAGGAACATCTGGCCCATCTTGTAGACGGGCACAGTGGCGTAGACGGCACAGCTGAGGCCGCACTTGCCGAACAGGTAGGGCAGCGCGCCCAGATGTGCCTGATCGGGGAACGTCAGGAGCACGGCGTCGATCTGGTTGACGTGTTTGCGCACATCACGCAGGTAGTTCAGGTTGAAATTCTCGTCCCAGCCGGCGTCCAGCAGAAAACGGCACTCGTCCACCTGTGAATGGGAAGCGATCAGTGATTTTATATCATAAAACAAATGTGTTCTAGGTGGCTAAGGACTGGCACATACAGCTCCAACACTGTCGCTGTTGTATGGGAGATCAGGGATGCCAGTGAACGTACAATCAATCTAGTCCTTGTAAAGCATGTCTGGTGCATTATTTAAGAAACAAGATATCGATACACTGCAGCTCCGAATACTAAAGGCGAGCACGATTATAAAATCAAAAGAAATGTTGAGCACTCGCCTACCTAGAACAATATCTCAATCATGGCAACTAGCCGGACAGTTCATCCTTTCAGTGGACAGCTGCATGCTGCCCTGCTGCTGTTTCTCCCGGCTTCAGGGACGACGTGTCAATAATCGACAACGCTAACGTCGATTACCACAGCACCACATCCACCATGTACCGGTTTTTTACACCAGTCCTGCACACGTGCAACTATAAAGAGGTAGGCATATAGATCCACAAATCAATGCGATAAGCCTTAAGTAGGTACACCTGACACGCAAATACACCCCAGTTTGCCGACAAATTATCATAGCGATATGGCGGTGGGCGTCCTGTCACAGTGTGCAGAGTGTATCTGCCGTAGCGAACAATTACAAAAATATATAGCCCGCTATGGGTCATACATTCTTAAAAGATAGCTCAATGCACGACAGTGAGGTCGGAGTAGGTCAGAATGGACAGTTCTTATCAGAGTCAGAGTTGCCAGAATTGTACCGACCATGACAGAATTAACAGTCCTTTGCTCGTTGACTGTTCAAAGCCAGCTCTTGGCGACGCCAAAACCATTCTCTGTTTGGCGCAAAATCATGAGTGCGAAAGGCAGAAGGCGGGCACCATACCAGAACCTGCTTTTGGTGCCTTCACTGACTACTCCTACATCTTGTTGTACAATGTATGGCTTGTAATGTGCACAAAATGGCTCAGACAGTTTAAATGGGATCTCAGAGATCAGCTATTTAACTTCAATGAGAACATTAATAGGGCTTAGCGGAGTCCGACTAGGATGGCATATTCTAAAGCCGACGTCGGAGGCACAGGAAATCCTTCTACTCTGCATTTCAAACCCTGACTGCATGCATGTAGGCCCACCAACCTGCAGTAGATGACAGTGGGGTGTTTCTCCGTCGCTTCCCGTCAAAGTCTGCACTTTGATGATCGAAGTCATGATGGTGACCGTTTCAGCTCACCTACCGGTAAAGTAACCAGGTGTCACCAGGTGTTATTCGCTCATCGTACTGTCATACACACACATAGACTGTCATTTGATGGTGTACAGCCCTCTGCTCACTGCGTGGTAGGTATACGTTACTCACAGCAATATCGACCTACGTTCTTACTTAAAGCGACGGAGATGCATAATGATACTCTGGAAATGTCCACAACAGCTTTTTGCACCCGTCCTAAAAGTGGCACGTTTGAAAGCTCCCTATATTTCCAGATATCAGGGAAAATGTTAACTTTCAGCTATTTGCTCTGCCCCGAATCACATTGAGCCTGACTGCGCCACTTCCAATGGGAAAGTCCAAATTGAGCCTGGCGAGGGGAGGTCGGAGTTTTACGCACGCTGCCCAGATACGCACGTTTGTTGTGATAGCTCGCACTGCCTGGGTAGAGGCTATTCACTACGGCTGATAGGGGAGGGGAGCCCTCGGGTATCCAGCGGTAGGTCAAAGTTCACAGAAACTGGCCGCCGGGGCACAATGATGGTCACCTGAGCTGCGGACCACAGCTGGACTTCGGACCTCTCCCCATCCCCTACCCCAGTCGACCCGAGACGGGTCGTGGCGTGCCCTCGGGGCCGGCAGGGTGTGCGGGGCGCCGGCGTTACGGCCAGTGGTTGGTGTTTTTGAGGTGGTGTCCGCTGATTATGAGCTAACGGGCGAAGCAAAGTATTTTCACTAAAACGGAAAAAAATCTTAGTATGAGCGGCCCGACCTGTAACGATTTTGAGAGGTTTATATAAAAGCAACCACTGGGCTGATTGACCTGCGGTCTGTTTTTTTTCTTTTTTTGCTGGGCAGCCTAATATCCCTTCTACGCCGTAATTAACTTCTATTGACAGGGCTGCGGAGTCGATGATTTTTTTAGGACCGACTCCGACTCCGGCTCCGCAGATCTGGCAGGGCCGAGGAGGAGGCAGATTTTCGGTGACTCCGACTCCGGTCTCGGTTTCCAAAATCGACTACGACTCCGACTGCGACTCCGGTCACAGCTGTCGACTCCAACCGATTCCGACTTCGGCTTCGACTCCTACTCCGACTCCGCAGCCCTGTATATTTATAAATCTAAAGGCGTCTGTCGTGGCACGTGCCATGTGAAAAGTTAAGGGTGCTCAAATTATTTTCCTTAAGTATAGAGCTTTCGAAAGACCTATAGTAAAGGTCTTTCAAAAGGATATAGATATCTTACCAGCGCTGGGGAAAGGGGGTTGGGGGGTTGGACGTAGGTAGGTATCCTGCGTTTTTCGCAGATATTGAGTAAAAAAAAAAACGGCAGCGCAGAGCAAAACCGTTTTCGGCACACCTCTTAATGCAAGTTTCCCGCACATGCTGTGAAAGTTTCAAGCCCATGCCTCTCAAGGTCAGGTCACCAGGTAGGTCACGTAAAGTGACCTCGCCTCAGAAAAAATTAAAATGCTCGTCATAGCCACATTGACTGAACGATCGCCTTGAAACTTTGAGCGATTGATAAGAGCGATGTGTATTAAATGTTAATTTCGTAATTTTGATATCGCTGAGCTAAGTTTAGGACAATCTGCGACATCTCTATTTTTGGTCAGTTGGAGAAAATTGAAATACGTATTACAAGACAAACGGTATTCTAAACACTCTCAAATATCATGACACCAGTAAACTTGAAACACTGAATAAGACAATAGCACATGGGAACCTTACTTATGTCCCCGAGGCCATCGCAGGTCATGAAAGGTCCCCGGCGGTTTTTGCCTTTGATTAGAGCGATGAAAACACCTTCGATGTGCTTAGGTCGACGATGCGCATTGACTGATGCGCAACATGACCTCTTCCGGACAGGTCATGACCTTGAACTTGCACGTTCCTTGCTTGAGTCAAAAGTGTTCTATCGAACGCGCTTTTCTACGGCACTGCATCAATATTGATTCATTTAAGCTATGCGCCGGTGTTTCAGAAAATGTTTAAATATGCACCACTTTACCTTTGTTGACATCTGGTGACCTAACCGTTAACCTGACCTAAAACTGATCGAAATATTTTCGTCTTGATTTTGAACGTTGTTTCAAATGTCGCTTACCGTGTGTTGCTACGTGGCCCATAGACTGAGTTAACCCTCGCCCGTATTGTTGTTTAGCCAGCCACGAACGTATAGGGGAGGGGGGGGGGGTTCGTTGGATACCCCTTGCCGTTTGGCCTCTGATGGACTTAGAGCTTCGCGGACAAAACGAGCGTGTTGTTGGTGACGAGAGGAAACAAAAAATGTCTATTTTTAAGGTCCTAGATCATAAGTTGACCTTCCAGGTCAGGTCAATGACCCCAAAAATCGGAACAATGGAAACTGTTAGAAGTTAGAACGTCGTAAAGTGTGGCTGCTAGTTTTTTTCGGGGTGCTAATCACAAATATCATGTTAGGTTTGATCAAACATGATGTCTTCACGCATTTATGCCAGGTCGGGTCAGGTCAGGTCAGGTCAACCAGTAGGTTCTTGCCGGGTATCTATAGTAGGTGTCAACTGCCACTCACAGCTCCGCAACATGTTACAAAGGCACCAAAACTGCTTCTTAAATGTTCAAATGGATGCTAAATTCTAAATGAGCTCCAAAAACTGTCCTAGACACGTGTAAAACTCGAAAAGTGAATCAAGGTCACCGAAGTTCAATGACCTAACCTGAGTTTCACGTGACCTTGACACCAACCTGTAACAATCCTGAAAATGGCTAATTCATTCCTAGTCCCTGTGCTTTAGAACGGCCTGGTCGGGTCGCGCCAGACTGTCTGGATCGGCTTCTGGCCGAGACATAGCTTCGGGCTATTGACCCGAGTGACCCCGGCCCGCGTCCACCTCCCTGCCCCACGGAACCGGCCGACTGGCCCGCCGACCGGTTTAGCCTCTGCGCTGGTCACCGACTCATGCCTGTTTACGCACCCAACTCGCACTACCATTCCGTAGTAAGCGGCTGTCAGCTGAGCTCATTGAAGGCATGGCAGGGACGGTTCTAGGAGGGGGGCAAAAAAACTTAGTCTCAGGACGGAAAATACAGACTTCTGTGCATTGTAGCGACACAGAGAGGTGGGTCTGGTCAACAAGGGGTTCAAACAAAGTTGTGTGGTATTGCGCGTCCCTCCGTCAGGACTTCCGCGCACTCGGTAGCAGAGCCTTTGAGATATTGGCCGGTTTCGCTGAAGCAACTATAACCTACCACGCAGTGAGCAGAGGGCTGTACAATATGGCCGTGCAGTGCACAGAAGGGAGTAATAAATCGAGCAAAGGCATACTTAAGACTGCAACAGAATCTTTGGGCAGTTAGGAAATTACATGCAGGAGCCTATTTAAATCGATTGCATCGCACTGATCAGTAACTCACACAGAGTTACTGATGCAATTCTGGGTTATAAAGGTGAGCCAATTTTGATGAATCAATGATTTGAATAGACTTTTACATGTGATTTCCTGGCTGTTAAAAGTCTGTTATGCCTTTGCATTAGCGTCGCCACGGGGGGGGGGGGCAAGCGGGGCAGCTTGCCCCCTCCCCCGCCCCAGCCTCGGACCGGGCACCCCCTGAGATCGATACAGATCCGATGAGATTTTGGAGTCGGGAAAATGGGGGTACCTTTCTGAGAATGCTTGTGAGGTCAGACTCGGTTGGAGGGTGCAGTTCAAGCCAGAGTCGAAGTTGCAGTCGCCAAAATCTTCACGGCTCCGACTACGGACTCGGAAATGTCAATGCTGTGATTCATTCGATGTTCCTAGTTGGATTTGTATTACATTTAATAGCCGATTTTTCATATGTTTTGAAGTGCTGACACAAAATTTGCGTTCAAAGCGTGACCCTAAATCTTCGGGCCTTTCTTAACTCTCGTCAAATGTCTGTGACAAACTAAAGTACCGTTCAAGTGCCACAGGGCTCATGAGCTTGCTTTTCACACAGGCTCCTAAGGAGCTCCACTGAGCTCTCAGAAACCTTCTGAGGGCCCAAACCGACCTCTGAGAGTCCCACTGGGTGACTGCTGTCCATATTCTCTGAGGGCCCATACAGGGATCTTTGAGGACCTTACACATGCGTAGACCACGGATCTTCAAAAATTTCTGATAACTTTAACTGGCCTCTGATAGCTTAGCCGAGCTTTTGAGGCAACAGATTTTGCTGAACCCAAGCCGGCATCTGAGGAGTCACGACTCATGTGTGCCTCTGGGGGTCCCAGCACATGTTTCTTATGTCCCTACCTAGGGCCTTTAGGGATTCGACACAGACCTCCAGGTCTGTGTCTCAGCTAACAGACACTGTTAGCTGAGGGCTCTTGGCTCACCCCGGGCCTGGTCTCTCAGCGTCCGCCGCCCACACTGGTTTCTGAGGGCCCCACCTTGAGCTTGGAAAGCCCTAAAGCACCACATAGGTACGCGTAAATATTTGGGACCCTGTCACCATCGTATTCCTCGCACCATTGCACGTCGAATGATATGTAATATGAGTGAGTAACGACTGGAGAAAGGCAAGATTTAACACCAACGTTGATTCCCCCCCCCCCCCAACCGAAAATCTCTGGCGACGCCTATGTGTCTTTGTCTAGACAATGCTCAGCAGACTGTCAGGGACTCCTGAACTTGAGGGAAGCAAACAAGAACCTGAGAACTGGGCTGTTCCTGTGATTATTTCAATCTCCAGCCCAAGCCCCCTCTCAGCTCATCACCTAAAACTCTCTAAGCTCGACTAAACACTTCTTTAAAAAATGATTCCCACTTCTCCTTTCATACCCAGTCTCCTCCAAGCTCCCCTGAATCCCTATTCCCACCTCCTACCACCACTATTCTCCTCCTCCCTCACCCCAAATGACAGTTGAACTTGAATTTCAGGAAGTGGATATAAGAATACAAATAGTAGACACACCCTGGTGTAGATGATACTCGTATATACGTGAATTGTTTTAAAATGACAACCGAGTGGTGTGGAAATGCTAGTGAAGACTGAGATCTGCAGAGGAGGCTAAGACCAATGGGTTTACTGCTCCTCCTTCCACTTCCAGTCTCTTTCAACTTCCAATATTTTCCAATAACTTTTCAATAAGAGCTATTCTTATCAAAAGTTATTGTTGATGTGCCATAACTTGAACTTGTCAACCACATTGACATAGCCCATTAATAACTGATTTCCTCATAATTTTTCCTGTGCTGCAAAAAATGCTTACCTCAAAGCTCTCCCAAGCCCCTCTCAGATTTGCATAGAGTAATGACCGGAACCAGGATACCTAGGAAGAGGCAGATAACATAAATACCTAAGTGCAACATCCCCCATGGCCCATAAGAAACTTACAAACATCAGGAAATCAGGGGTAGAGATCTGTCAAAATGTCAGGGGGGTCCAGGCCGGGCAGATGGAGACGGGCTGGATGCAGTACCAACTACCATTGACTTGCATAGCAGTAATTCATTTTCAGGGGGGTTCCTGACCCCCCCGACCCCCCCCCCCCCTGAGATCTCCACCTCTGCAGGAAATATTTACTTTAGGTCAAGGTCTGCAATATTTTCAAACAAGAAAAATACACATTCTTACATAATTTCATGTTAATTAAATCAGAAATTATACATGCCTACCTTACCTTACCTGACCCTTAATACCTATAACCTACGTCATGCAAATGAAAAAATGAAAAAATACTAACCTGTTACGCCCCCTGCTATCACTATTGTAATATCATATTACATCATAATATCATATGATATCGATACGATCGAGACTACTCACACACGTGTGCACGCCAGCCGCCAGTAGCGGGGGAACACCTTTAATTAAGGGGGACACTGCCGACTTTTGATCCCATTCTTTCCATGCAATGCCCATAGGGCTAATCTTAAATGCCAAAATCAAAGGGGGCACAGTGCCCCAGTGACCTTCCCGTTCCGCTGCCTATTATGGTGCGCGCTCAAAACGACAGAATGAGGAATCAAGAATGAGGAATCAGGAATGGAATGTTCACATAGGTGGAAGCAAAACGTCAATTGTAACTAAATCGGAGCAACCCCGTGTGATCAAACATACGTCAATGTTAACTCAAAAAGTTCTCACCAATTACACTCCAAAGTCCAATGCCCTATATCCCAGACCATAGATCACTTAATCCATGACCATACTCTGCTAATATCAATTAACAAGGCCCTAAATACCCCTGCTAAATACAGTGCTAAATACAAGCCAATTACAATACCTTAAATTGATTTACTCTGCCAATAATTATTATCCGGTCCTATACTATAACATCTATTCAAAAGTGTGTTCAATAGAAGCATCAGCAGCTGCAGTCATAAAAATCTTCATTTTCAAAATGCTTATTGGGATCTCTTTATGCTACAAATGATGATACAATAAAGTCAACAAAGTAAAAATAATGCTTTTCTTTCATATTTGAAAACTTGAAAGTATCCCTAAAAACATCGAACGTTTCTACCTTCAACACGTCGATTTTTGAAAGCATATATCGCATGAATACAACAGCAGGCGCCACTTTTCTACACACTACGCGCCATTTCTGAAACATCCATAAAAACACTGCCCTCTTTTTAGGGACAGCATTATTCCACTGCCAACCATATAGGGTAAAGTGCCTAGTTAGCGACCCCCACCTTCAAAAGGCTGGAGTATCCCTCTGGCGTTGACCTGTCTGTTGATTTTAGGTTCCAGTTTTCTGATGTAAACTGCTTCCAGTATAAGCAGTTTTCTCTTGTCTGTTTCTTGACATAATATGGTGATGTTCTTTGTGATGTCAAGCTTGATTTGGGCGAGGCCAGCCTCACTTCTGTAGTTTTGCCATGGACCAATGGCTACGCCTGGACTGGTCGAAAGGTCGAAAAGTCAAAAGTTGACCTTAGGTCACGTGACCTAAGGTCAACTTTTGACCTTTCGACCTTTCGAGGTCAAAATACATATGTTTCGATGCGGATCGACGAGAGGATCACGATGGTGCTATTAGTTTGTTCCTATCAGTGGTGCTATTAGTGGTGCTATTAGCTGGGATACCTTGAAAGTTATTCGAGAAACTGACATCGACACTGACATCGCTGTCACTGACATCGACCTCACCGTGGAACTCGTGAGAAAGAAGATGGCTGCCCTACGACCTTTTTCCGCCGCGGGCCCAGATGGAGTGCACCCACGGATCATCAAGGAAACAGCCGACTCGTTAGCAAGCACGCTTACCTCCATCTACCAATCGTCATTGGACACGGGGACCCTGCCGCAGGACTGGAAACTGGCAGATGTGGTTCCAATTTACAAGAAAGGAAGTAAAGATGAACCAGGGAACTACAGGCCAGTCAGTTTGACGTCTGTTCCGTGCAAGCTCTTGGAGTCGATCATCCGCGACCGGCTTATGGCACACCTCAAGTCAGAGAACCTGATCAATGACGCACAACACGGATTCCGTCCAGGGAGGTCCTGCTCTACTCAGCTGATGCTAACGATAGAAGATTGGAGCAGCATGATTGAGAGCAACCGACCTGTCGACGTCATATACCTAGACCTGGCCAAGGCGCTCAACACAGTCCCACCTAGACGACTGCTGAGGAAAGTAGAAGCTCACGGCATCGGAGGCAAGATTCTGAGATGGATCGGCGCATTCTTGGAAGGACGGAAGCAGCGAGTCACTGTTGGGAGCAGCTGCAGACTGGGCTCCTGTACCAAGCGGTGTTCCACAGGGTTCAGTCCTTGCTCCACTGCTCTTCGCGCTGTACGTGAACGACCTGCCGGAGCCGCTACACTGTGGGATAAAGATATTCGCCGACGACAGCAAACTCTATCGACCTATCTGCTCTCTGTCCGACTCGGCATCCCTGCAGGAGGACCTGGACGCGGCACTTCATCTGCCCATGGGCAGACAGGTGGCAGCTGGCATTCAACCCTGGAAAGAACAAGGTGCTCCACATCGGCGGAGGCAACCAGCACCACTCATACCGGATGGGGGGAACCAAGATACCTAAAAGAAACGAACTACAGTCGCGGAGTCAGATGTCGAGAGAGACCTTGGCGTCCTCATGGATACCCAGCTCAAATTCCGGAAGCAGGCTGCTGCGGCCGTAAAGAAGGCAACACAAGTGATGACAGTGATTCGTCGGTCCTTCCACCTGCTTGACAAATCAACCCTCCCCCTGCTCCTCAAGGCCCTTGTCCGACCCCACCTTGAGTACGGGAACCTAGTGTGGGGTCCCTTCAACCGGGCGGACCAGCGGCTGGTAGAGCGGGTGCAGAGGCGGGCGACCAAGCTGATTCCCGATCTTCGACACCTCCCGTATCGAGAGCGTCTGAAAGTGCTGCAGCTACCAACGCTGTACTACAGACGGAGGCGTGGAGATATGATCGCGGTTTATCAGCTGCTCCGCGGTGGACTGGACATGGACCCTCGCAACTTCTTCGAGATGGCAGCCGAAAGAACTCCTGCTACAAGAGGACACCAGTGGAGACTAGCCAAGCCGCGAGCGGTCTCCAGGATTCGGCGCAACGCGTTCTCGTCAGACGCATGAGGAGCTCGACTAGAAAGGTTTCTAAAGGCCTAGTCTGGCCTATCCAAAATCTGTACTTCGTAAGTAAGTAAGTAAGTAAGTAAGTAAGAGAAAAACTTCATATATATGTATAGTGCCGCTATTTTGACTTCCTTTTTGCTCCTGTGACGTCATCTTTGACCTGACCTGAAAATGACCCCAGTAAAAATCGTAGACCTTATCCGTGTGTAACCCTGTACCTTTTACTGCTTGTCGCATATCTTGCTTTATGTATTCTCGAGATCTCGCTGTCGCTCCCGCTCGTAATAATGGACAGGTCATAAAAATGACCTGACCTGAGGTCAACGCAGGGCGATAACCACTTTTTTATTATCGCATATGAGTGACAATTGATAAGGCTTTAATCGTCATCAGACAAAATTGCAACTTTCAGTGGGGAAAATATCAAGGTCACTCTTCGAAAAATAGGACAAAAGGTCACGTGATCAAAATTTTCAAAAATTGAAAATCCGAGATAGCCAAAATGTTTGTTGGTTGATTGTGAGTTGAACAATATAAAGTTTTTAGCGTAGAAAACCAATAGTTTCTGAGTTATAGGCCGCCAAACATAGGGCTGCAGCGCGACTGTGGTACCAAAAGTTGTAGTATGAATACAATGGTTTTATTCAACTAAATTCGACCGATATGAGTGTGCACCTGAGGACGAAACAGAAATAACAGATGTTAGCGAGAGCACCACATTCGACAGTAATGGGTGGTTTATCACATTTTCCCCCGCTGTGTTAAAGACACGAGTAGGCAGAAATCGAGCAGCAATGTAACGAACAAAAGACAAGAGTAGGCAGAAATCGAGCGGCTATGTAACGAACAACGCAACAGGCGTCTTTGTACACGTTTGCATAAGCTAAGGCGCACGTCTGGCTTCGATGAGCGCCTCAGTACACGCTCTTATATGTTAAGGCGCACCACTGGCTTCCTTGTCCGGTTAGACCGACGCACTTCGGTCGCCGGTTCTGACTCGCTCGGTGGCGGCGCGCTTGGGGGTCCCGGGACCGCTTCTGACTCGTACGATGGCGGCGCACTTGAGGGCACCGGGGACTGGCGGCTCGAGAGCGGCGTGCTCGAGGGCTCCGAACGGATGCCCGGGGACCCCGGCTCGCCCGCTTCCTCTCCCTTCTCGTTTCCTTGTTGCTGTGCACAACCGCCGGGGGCGAGATCTCGCACAGAGACCGTGTCGACCTTGCCGCCGGGGTAGCGCACGAAAGCGTAGTGCGGGTTCGCCTCCAGGAGTTCGACTGGCTCGACTGGTAGGTCAAGCTTTCCGCGGACGTATTTCTTCAAGAGAACCTGCCCGGGGTTGAGGAGCCAGGACGGTAGAGAAGCTCCCGTCGCAGACCGCCGCTGGAAACAGAACATCCTTTCGTGTGGGGTGGCATTTGTTGCTGTGCACAACAGAGACCGGATAGAATGCAAGACGTCAGGCAGGACGGCGTCCCATTGTCCTCTGCTCAACTTCCTGCTCTCCATAGCGAGTTGAACGGCACGCCAGATGGTGCCGTTAAGCCGCTCACATTGTGAGTTGCCTTCGGGGTGGTACGGTGTCGTGCGACTCGTGGCGATCCCCAGTCCTGTCAGGAAGGATCGAAGCTCAGCTGACATGAAAGCTGAACCGCGGTCGGAGTGCACGTATGCCGGCATCCCGAAGATGGAGAAGAGATGAGTGAGGCATTTGATCACGGTGGCGGTTGTCATGTCCCGGCACGGATAGGCGAACGGGAACCGAGAGAACTCATCGATCATAGTGAGGATGTACTGGTTGCCGCTCGGACTTGGGGGTAGGGGACCTTTGAAGTCCACGTTGATTCTTTCGAATGGAGATGTAGCCTTCACCAGCTTCGCGGAGGTGGCCCTGAAGAAGTTCGGCTTACATCGACAGCAGACCGGGCAGTTGGAGGTGACGCGGCGCACGTCATCCACGGAGTAGGGCAGATTCTTGCTGCGCACGAAGTGCAGCAAGTAGCAACCTTGTTACTCCGGGGTGAACGAGAGACTCGTGCAGCTGCTCCAGGGCCGGATGTGAGGCGGCTGCGCAGTGGGCGCGGCTGAACGTATCAGCAGGAATGTTTTCTCGTCCTGGTCGGTACTTGATGGTGTACGAGAGTGGCGAGAGCTCGATTCTCCATCGTAGAATCTTTTCAATCTTGATCTTGCTCGACACTTTGTTGTCGAACATGAAACTCACGCTTCTTTGGTCAGTGAGCAGGTTGAAGTGGTGGGTTAGGAAGTGCCTCCACTTTCTGATAGACTCCACGATGGCGTAGGCCTCCTTTTCGACGATGCTGTGACGCTTCTCGGCTTCGTTCAGAGTGCGTGAGAAGAAGGCCACAGGACGCTCGTCTTGGGTAAGAGTCGCTGCGATGGCTTCGTCGGAAGCGTCTGTTTCGATGGTGAATGGGGCGTCATCTCTGATGACGGCGACGACCGCTTGTGAGATGTCCTTCTTCAGCTGCTGGATAGCCGCTCTGCAGTCGGGATTCAGAGGGAACGACGATGCAGAGATGAGGGGACGGATCTTCTCAGAGTATGAGGGGATCCATCTGGCGTAGTACGCGAACAGGCCGATGAGCCGTTGCAGAGACTTCTTGTCGCGAGGTTCCGGCAGCTCTTGAAGTGGACGCAGTCGTTCGGGGTCCGGTCTCAGCTGACCTCGCTGGATGGAATACCCGAGGATATTCACCGTCTCCAGGCCGATCTTGCACTTGCTTCTGTTCAGCGTGAGGTGGAGCGCATCGGCAACCTCCCAGAAGCGCCGGAGGTTCTCATCGTGCTCCTCCCTCGTCTGGCCACAGATGGTCAGGTCGTCCAGATAAGC